GCGGTGGCTCCGCTGCGTGCTCTCTGCCACGACGTGCTGCCTCACCACAGGCACAGAGCTCCAGGACCAACAGATCACAGACTGAACCCTCGAACTATGAACCAGAGAAACCTTTCCTCTTTGTGAGCTGATTATTCAGGTGTTTTGTTACAGAAACAGAAGATAACACCCATGGGGAATCTGTACGCGGATGAAAGAGTGTATGCAAAGGCACTGTGGTTGGACAAATGTTGGTAGGAATGAGCATTTGGAAGAAGGCTAGTGTGGCTCAGGGACCAGAGGGAGGCATGAGGCGGGGTGGGGAGTCAAACTGTGCAAGCCTGCTGAGGTCTCAGGGAGCGTCAAGGGTCTCAGCAGGGTGACAGGAGGGGCTTTGCTCCTGAAGCCTTCCCTGTGGCTTTGTGTGCAAAGAGAACTGGAGAGGGCTGGGCTGTGACAGCAGCGGGGGTTTTGCTGAGCTAACTGCGGCTCAGTGGTCCTGGAGGTGGAGGGAAGCGACAGCCTGGGCAGTAGGGAGGATTTGTCTGAGGGTCAGGCGGGCCCTGCTTAGCGTGGCACGTGGTCCAAGCTCACGGCTGCAGTGGGAGGAGCTTCCCCCAGGTTCCGTCTCGGGGGTGTATGTGGGAGCAAACAGCGGCTGCGGCAAGTTCCTGCAGCTCTCAGGCAGGGCCCCTGTGTGCTGAGGTCTGGCCCGCACATCCCAGCTGGAGTGCAGACACACAGAAGGGCCCTCGAACGCGTCTACAACAAGCCACAAGCTCTGGGGTGCAGAAGGTGCGCGTGGGGTGTACAGGGAGGGCGGGCCACGGGGCCCCAGGGGCCTCACACTCTGCCCCCGAGGCTTCTCCTGAGGCTGGAGGGTGCTGGGCGGGGACTTGCCCAGATTTCTAATCTGAAGCCTGGGGCCTCAAGGCCTGATCTTGGCGCCCTGGTGAGTCTGCGTGCCCTTCGGAGCCTCCTGTCTGTGAGGGGCAGTGACAGCCCGGCCATGCCAGGCTGTGTGGAGGGCCCCGTGGGAGGGCTGCGGGACAGTGCGCTGCGGATGGTGAGCAGAGGGGGCCGCTGCCCTTCGGAGCTTGTCTCTTCCCCCAGGCCGGTTCTGGCCTTCAAGCAGGTACCCCACTAACGAAAGAAAGGAGGGCGCGGCATGCGGACAGATGTCCGCTCCCAGGTCTGGGTATCCGGGTCCCGTCTTCCCCCAGCACCTGTCAAGAAGCCAGAGGCGAAACCTGGGAAAGGGACGTTTCTACTTCTGCCAAGAGGCATGCCTGGACTGGATTGTAGAGGGCTGCGTCCTGCGAGGCCGGTGGACAGAGCCTGGCTCCAGCCATAATGCCAGAGAGCGGAGCAAAGGGCGGTGAGGGCAAGAGGCGTCAGGGAGGACTGGAGCGGGGCACTCAGGGCCAGTCCTCGGGGCGGCCTCCCCGGCGGCCAGTGTCCGGCAAAGGATCGAGAAGCCACTGCCCGAGGCCCTGAGCTCTGAACCCGAGAGCGGAGCGGCTGCTTCAGAGCGGGAGCTCCAAGAATGTCTGACAAAGCCTCACAGAGGGGTGTGGAAAAGGGCACGTGGCCCAGGGGCCCAGCGCCTCATGCGGAAGGCACAGATGGTGCTGGGGATGCTGGATTACCGTGCGCCCGGTGCCTGCTGGTGGGTGAATCCGTCCCGAGGCCCATGCAGCTGTCATGCGGCTGGGACAGAGGCCACTCCCACTCCCAGCACCCCGCAGAGACAGAGCACACAGGCTTGGCGAGGCGCTGGCTCAGCTCCGGCTACCACCCCTGGGCGTCGGAGCGCATGGAGCCCTGGGACTCTGCTGGCGTGGAGAGGGCTTCTCAGGTGAGGGGCTGGGGGCGTCCAAGGCAGGGGCCCCTGAAGTAGGTTTGCGCTGGGCTCCTCTGGGCAGATTCCCACCAGGCCTGGCATCTTCTGACCCCCACAGACAGCCTCAGCGCTGCCATGTTGTCCCCTTTCCAGAGGCAGGGATAGATATGCGCTCCATCCAGCACCAGAGAGAGGCGCAGGATTGCTCTCCGCCACTGCCCTTTGGGCGGGGTGAGGGTGGCCGGGGAAAGGCGACCCTGCTCCCGCTGGGCAGCAGAGCCTTGCAGTCACCTTCCGGCTTCCCAGCGCCCCCCGAGCCTCCCCAGTCCTAGCCCTGTCCCTGTCCCTGCCCCCAGCCCATGTCACCTACCCTCTGGGAGCCTAGCATGTGGCGCTTCCCCAGCTGGCCTTGACGTGTGTCCCCCACGCCTCAAGCCTCCAAGGTCCCTCGCCCAAGCGCTGCTCCGTCACCATCCGGGTGGGCTGAGATGCGGGGGGGCCTCTGGGGCAGGTGCACAGCCCCCAGGCCCTCAGCAAATTAATGCCTCAAGTGCGCCCCGCCCTACACTCTGACGCGCAGCAGGCCATGGCAGCCTCCTGTGAGATGCCCCTGAAGGGACGGGAAGACAACCCGATCACAGCGGTATTTGCAGGGCACGGCCAAGGCGGGCAGGGGCCGCTGCATCCCAGCTCAGCCCCCGCTCCTGCCAGACTCTCTTGGCTGAAGGGCACCCAGCCAAGCTTGGGCCTTTCCTGGAGTACGGCCTTGGCCCTGAGAGGCCCCGAGCACAGCCTCCCGGCTCCGCATGCAGGAAGATGCAGTGTTTGCGCAGCGGAAAAACAGGAAACTGCTCGACATCCAGCCGCTGCAAACAGGTTAAACGAATGACGGCGCGGAACGCAGTGGTGCAAGGCCTGCGCTCGGGTTTACAGGGAGTAATGACGCGGGAAATGTGCACTGCAGGTTCCGCGAGGAGGAAGAGAAGAAAACGGCCTGGGCTGCAGTCGCCGCTCCGCCAAGGTGCCAGCAGCGATAGCGCCCGGCTGGGGGCGCAGGTGCTTTCCACGTTCTCCTTCACACCCTGTTTTATCACGTTTTTTTTGCCATGAGCATGTACTACTTTTAAACCAGGAAAAAATTAAGTGCATAGATTTCTTCTGAGCCAAATTATCTAAAAGCAGTTTAAAGCCTCCCCAGGCTCCAGGTTCCTTATGGGTTTGACAGCTGAGCACAGTATTAAAGCTTGCACACACACACACACACACACACACACACACACACACACACAAGCACACGCACATGCACGCACGTACGCACACGTACACATCTTCATTTTCATGAAGTAACTCACATAATTGGCCACAGGACACTTCACAGCCCAACCACAGCTCCCAGGTCTCTATACAGATTATGTGCGTCCCCATCACCAACCCGCACCCCTAATAGGACCATTCCAGCGCTCATGGCCTGATCTCAGAGACCCAGCTCCGAGTCCTGGCCAGAGGAGGGGCCAGTCTGTCTCTAGGACCAGCCCTGTCTCTAGGACTGTCTTCTCTGCCCCTGCCCTGGCCAGGCCTTTCAGCCTGTTCCTTGGGCCTGCATTTCTCTGTCCTCTGGAGAGGGGGAACCAGCGCTCAAAACAGAGCAATTCGCACTGCCACCTCTGTTGCCTGGCTTTATGTGGCCTGTGTGTGTCTGCCACACCCGTGCCATTGCCGGAGTACCTGTGGGTAAGCACCCCTGCAAGAGTGTGTGTGCGCATGTGCATGGGTGTGTGCATGCATGGATATGCTCTGCTCTGGAGGAAAGACACCAGGAGGTCTGAAATTCTGAAGCTAGGAAGATTGCTTCAAATTGTGCAGTGGAGGCTGTGGTCAGGCCCTGCAAGAGGAGGGGGAGAGAAGCGGCTCATTTCCTTCCGAGCTGAGAGCTCAGCTGGGCCCCTAAG